TGGTGACATGTTGTAAAATGAAACCGAAGGGGGAGAAGGGATTTGTGCGCACTCATCCACGCCACGCATACTCAAGCGGGCTTGAGCTCGTCCAGCAGCGCGGGCAGGAGGAACTCCAGGGCGGGGATGACGAAGACCGCCGCGACGAAGCCCCGTCCACGTCGCAGGAAAATCTGGCGGCATTACCCCACCTTGACATGTCTCTTGGAGACAGCGCCCAGCCGAGTGCCCTTGAAGCCACAGCTCTGCGCGCCGAGTGACAGCAACGCTGGGGCCGTCCCCAGAGCAAGGAAAACCGTCAGCACGAGAACCATCGGCAGCAACCACCTGCGTCCAGGGGCACGTCGGCCTGCACCTTTCCGAACAGGGCGTTCGACGCCGTGTTGTAGTGCTCGTGCTCAGTGAACTGGCAATTCTGCTCGCGCGCACTGGAGGGAAGACGGACGACCTCGGCTTGACTTCGGCGATCGGCCTCTTGATCTGCAAATCGCCCTTGCGCTGCATCGCTGCACCACCACCCTCAGAGCCGACCGCGGCAGAGAAAGGGTGGACCCTGCGCGCGGGTACTTGACAACAGGAGCGAGAAGGTCCTGGAGGTCGGTCGTCCGCGTTGCACGTACCACCACAAACTTGGTAAGCGCGAAGTCCTGGAAAGAACGGCAGAGCCTCAGAGCGCAACACTGTGGGTTAAGAGGGCACCGACGGCACCATCTGCTTCTCGACCTCCGCGTCGCGCTGCAACTCGCCGAGCTCCGCATAGCACAGCACCTCGTAAGCAGCTGTCGCCGAGGGGACGCCTGCGCCTAGGAGTGGCCCCGCCTGGGCTACGACCCATGCCTCGCGCAAGGCACCAGCACTCGGGCATACCGCTGCATGCCATGTAGCATTCCGTGGTAGACGGCGGCCACCAAAAAAAACGATCTCCAGCCACAAGGGAGCGGAAGGCAGGTCGTTGAATATCCTTGCGTCGGCCGCCTCGTCAGCGGGGTCATGCTGAAGAGAACGCAACCTATCCACCGCCTTGCGGAGCACGTCGATGTGAGCAAGGAGTTTCTTCACCAGGCTGTCTGCGGCGACCCACGCTGCCGCTGCGGCTCGAAGAGGCGGATCCCGTAGGGTCACGCCCACGCGGAGCACCACCCACGACACCAGACCGGACGCATACCGCGCCAGCTCGAGCCAAGGGGGTTCGCCCGCTGATGGGCGGCTTGAGCCAAAATGGCTAAGGAAAATCGGAGGGGCGGAGGGGGGGGGGAAAGGAAGAGAGTGGAAAAGAGAGAGAGGAGAAGAGAATGGCCTGCCCACCGAAGGAGCACCGGCGAGCAAATCAAGCAGGCCTTGCAGGGCAGAGCACTCGGCAGGCAAGCCTGGCAGGACGCTGGCGTTGCAGGCGGCCGACGTGCACGCCATCATACTGTGCAACAGCAGTGCCATGGAGCTGGGGCAACGTCCATATGCCACCACCGAATTCCACTCCTGGGCGACCGCCAATTGGGAAGCACCAAAAAAACGACAGAAGTAGAGGGCACATGCAAAAGCCGAGAAAGGAGAAAGAGCGGGGGAGTGATGGTGGGAGAAGGCGAAACACCTCGCGCTCGGGGATGCGCTCGACGGATTCGCGCGGTCATCGGGCGACTCGTGGCCTTGAGCCAAAGATGGCTACGGAAGCTACTGCTGCTCTCTGTTTCTTTTTCCCAACCATCCTGTGGTGTTGGGTCCTCGTTTTGAAGAGACAGCGCCCCGCGTCCCTCCCTCTCTCCCGCCTCCTCCTCCTCCTCCTCCTCCTCCCTCCTCCTCCTCCTCCTCCTCCTCCTCCTCCTCCTCCTCCTCCTCCTCCTCCTCTTTCCCCTCCTCACTTCTCCCCCTCCTCCCTGCGTTTCACCTACCCAGTGCATCGTTTCGTGGCCCCATAGGGAGCTCCACCGAAGGCCCCAGTGGCAGGGTTCGCATGGCGGCCCCGCGCCATTTTGGCGCACCCCTTACACGGTTCGCGGCCCCATAGGGAGCTCCACCGAAGGCCCCAGTGGCAGGGTTCGCATGGCGGCCCCGCCCCATTTTGGCGCACCCCTCACACGGTTCGTGGCCCCATTGGGAATTCCCCTTGCGTCGTCCCACCTGCCGTGCGGTTCTCACACTTGCGTACGGTTGGGTCTTTCGCCAGGATAATGATGTTTCTCGTTTTCTCTCTCTCTCTCTCTCTCTCTGTATCGTTATTTGCTCATCTCTCTGATTATATAGATAAACATGGAAGTGCATACCGATGTATATATATATATATATATATATAGGTGTGTGTGTGCATATGTCTATACAGTTACGTGTGCATACACATGTGTCTATAGACGTGCACGAACACATATCTATACCTAGGTCCATATGTGTTTGTGTGCACGCGTCCGTATCTGAGCATCTCTCCATACATTCATCCACCCGTCCTTCTCTATACACGCGTCCGTATCTGAGCATTTCTCCATACATGCCTCCTTGCCTCACTCTCTCTCTCTCTCTATTCCTCTCTCTCTCTCTCTCGCTCTCAGTGTCCCTCTCTCTCTGTACCTGTAGCATTGCCCGTCTGAGTAAATGTATCCATGCCCGTCTCAGTCTCAGTCGCTCTCTCTGGATACAAATATACACAAATATCTACAATTATCCAGATAACGGTGTACATAACATATGGATAGATATAGACGTATGTATGTGCATGTATATTGATTAATGTAGACATCTACACCCCTAAGTCTCCTGTCTGAGTCTCAGTCGCAGCCTCGTTCTAACCCTGACTCTCTATCTCTCTCTTTCTCTGTCGCTTTTCTCTCTCTCTCTCTATTCGCTCTCCCTCTCTCCAGTCTCGGGTCCAGTGCCGCTCGCGGCGCTACCCCTGCGATGGGCCCTCCGGCTGTCCCTGCCTGGACCGGACGGCGGTCCACTCGGGTCGGGCGAAAGGGGGGGATCGCAAAAGGGGGGTTTGAGAATCAGCTCACGTAGCTGATTTTCCCGGCGCTTCCCGGCGCCGGAGGCGGCTATGTGTCGAGGAATGGGCCCCTCGGTGAGGCCGAAACCAGCTGCTTGCAGCAAATTTCGTATCCCCCCCTTCCCAGTCACCCCCTTTCGTCCGGCCCGATCCACCCGCTGCCCCCCAACGGGGCCCCATCTCGCCTCTCCGCTCCCGCGCGCGCCTCCACGGCCGGCCGCCGCGCTCCCCCGGTCGCAGGGACAAGACGGCGTCTGGCCCCGAGCCTCGGGGCCGGATGTCGTCCCCCTTCGCCCCGTCCTCCGAGCCCGCCTCGGGGCGCGGGCGATCGCACTTCGACGGGGGCCTCGTTTCAAAAAGACACTTGAAACCCCAGGGGGGGGGGCCTCACGGATCAAAACTTGCCGCCCTGGGCGCCGGTGGGCGCCCAAGAGGACCGACGAGAGTCCCAGGGGAACTCCCACCCCGGCCCCGAGGCATCAATGCTCCCGCGGTGCGACGCCTTTGCCGAGGCCCCCAAGGTCGCGGGCTCCGATGGTGCCGCTTCCGCATGCGGTCCAGTGGTTCACCTCGCCACTGAGGATCTGGATCGCACCTACCCAGAACACGGCTTCCAGCCCACCGAGCTGAGGAGGCCATCTGGCGCATCCGTGGCAAACGCAGGATTAGCTGGCCACCTGGCTCACGACCGATCACAGACGGGCCTCTCCCGCCGCGCGGACGAGCCTCCGCGCCCATACCGCCGAGCTGATGAGCCTCGGCGCAGCCCTCTGGTTCGTGCCCGTGGTCGCTCACGCTCATCCAACGCGCAGCCCCCGCGGGGACGCGCTTCTTGGCAGCATCTTGCCCCGCGGCCACGAGGAGGGCGAGGGCCCGCTAAACCAACTTCGCTAAGAAGACCAACTGTTGGCCATGGCGGCCCTGGGACCCAAGAACACTCGGCACCCAGGAATCAAGATGGCAGTCCCCGCGCTGCGTCGCAACGCCGCGACCGCCAAGGCCCAGGCGACACGGGCGGACAGGCCTTGTCTACCAATTCGGCACCACCGAGGCCGAGTGCCACCAGGGCACGGCCGAGGTCACGCTCGACCTGCCTCTCAACGTCACGTGGGTGCGCATGGCCATCAACGAGGCGGAGGCCACGGCAGCCGTCGAGACGCTTCAGGGGCAGTTCACCAAACTATTCTCAGGAGCGGCACAAGTCAACGGCAACTGATTACTCACGAGAAAGCCCGAGGCGGGTCTCGCAAAGGCACCCTTGAACAGGACGCGCGCAGGCGCCCCCTGGTGGACGTCACCAATGCCCTGGCCGGTCCAGGCAGGGGTGGAATAACCGGATAACCTACGACCTCAGCCACCGCGGCAACCACACCGACGCCGCAAACTTCCCCTACGTGATCAACTGCTGGTGGCCGAGATCCCGATGGTGGCTGTCGTCGCAGCACCTGCCGACGAGCAACGGTACGCTCACTGCCAACGTGCATGAACAGACTTATCGAGCACAGACTCGTTGGGTGTGAACGCATGGACTTGGGGCGCTCCTCTTGCCGACCCCCTGCCCCCGCATCCCCGCGCCCCACTTGCCTAAGTACGCCCCGCGCGAAGCAAGAAGAATGCTACCTGATATTCCTCCAAGCCAGGCTCCACTTAAGATCGCCCCCACCTTCAGGCGTCGTCACCCAAAACTGTTCTGGTCACATCCCGCCCTGGGGACCTGACCAGGCACCCCTCCCAGAGGGGGAGGAACAAAAGCCACATCCTCCTCGCCGCCTCCTCGTCCACATGGCGGGAGTCGGAAACCCTGAACCCAAAAATGTTGTCATCGCTTGGGGGCACATTCTCTACTCCCGCCCGCTTCCGCCGGCCTTCTTCTGGCTTCCGCTAGCGGAGCCGTCCTCTTCTTGCCTCCGCCACCTTCCGCCGCGGAAGCGAGGGCAGCTCCTTCGATCCTCGAGGGCGAGGCACTCTCTGGAGCGCCCCACGTGCTCCTCCTCGTGCTCCTTCTCGTGCCCCAGCTCCTCCTCCGAGCCTGAGCTGCACGGGCCCCCCGCAGTCGCCGGCCCCGCACTCCAGCCACCACCGCGGGAGGTCCGTGGACAGCAGCCCCCGCCGCACCCTGGTCACGGCAGCTTCCGCGACCGACACTGTCGACGCCGCCCCTGCCGTCGTCCTCCAGGGGCCTCCCAGGGGCCCCCGTGGCCACCCAGATCTCTGCTGATGTCATTCTGTCAATCTGAGCGGCTCTCTTCGATTTCGGCTCTCGGGGGTCGCTCCAGGGACCAAGGACCATTAAACATGGATCTGGGTTTAAAAACTATATACGGGAAAGCGGTCGGGCCTCCGTAGGGGCGCGGCCCCAAAATAACATGATGAACCCACGAATCCGGAAAAGGAATTAGAACTGCGACGCATTGAAACGTTTCAAATGACCTCAGTTGGGCGATGGGCAGTGGCAATGCTGACGAGATCGATGGTGGTGATACTGTGCCAGGGGCTGTGCTGTGCTGCGCTGCGCTGCGCCGTGCCTCACAGTGACGTGCCATGACATGGGACGCGCCGCGGAACGTCTCAAGGGACGCGCCAGAGGACGTGCCAGGGGACGTGCCGTGGGGACGCACCGCGGGACGTGCCAAGAGGACGCGCCACGCACCGTGCCAGCGGACGTGCCACAGGACGTGCCAAAGGACGCGCCGCACGACGTGCCAAGGGGACGCGCCACGGAACGCGCCACGGAACGTGCCATGGAACGCGCCAGGGGAGGCATGGGGACGCACCGCGGGACGTGCCAAGAGGACGCGACACGCAGGAGGATGTCCAGGGGCTCAGAATCCTCGCAACTGTCGCCTTCTGGAAGGGGCTGAAAACGCGGGAGGATGTCCCGAAGCTCAGAATCCTCGCAGCTGTTGCGCTCTGACGGGGGGGGGGGGTGGCAACACGCGAGAGGAGGTCCAGGGGCTCAGAATCCTAGCAACTGTCGTGTTCTGGAGGGCAGGGGGGCGGAACACACGGGAGGAGGTCCAGAGGCTCGGAATCCTCGCACTTGTCGCTCTCTGGGTGGGCGCAACGTGGGTCCCGTTCGCCCTAGAGCGCAGCAAGCGCGAAAACACACGGGCGCCTGGCACCTCGGAGCGGCGCAAGCTCGCCCCAGAGCGGAACGAGAGGAACACTTGGGTCCCTGTCGCCCCAGAGCGGAACCAGCGTGAATGCCTGTCGCCCCAAAGCGCCGCAAGCGTGAAAGTGTATGGGTCCTTTGCCGCCCCAGAGCGGGGCAAGCGTGAAACCACCTGGGTCCCCTTCGCCCCAGAATGCGATCAGCGTGCCAACGCGTGGATCCCCTCCAAGAAGCGCCGGGAGGCCTCCCCAGGGCCCCAAAGCGGCACGTGCCAGGGGGCTGTGCATCCCGTGCCTATTCGTTGGGCTTGCCCTGCTGCTGTGCCCTCCCTGACACTTTGGAAAGGGGGGGCCGCCCCTGGGTGGCCGGGACGCGTGGCAACACGCGGGTCCGTTTCGACACAGAGCGGAAGAAGCGTGAACTCGCGCGGGTCCCGTGCGCTCCAGAGCGCAACAGACGTGAAAACACGTGGCCCCTGTCGCCCCAGAGCGGAAGAAGCGTGAAAACGCGTGGGCCTCTGTTCGCCCCCCAGCGCAGCAAGCGTGAAAACGCGTGGGCCCCTGTTCGCCCCAGAGTGCAGCAAGCTTGAAATCACGTGGGCCCCTTTCGTCCCAGAGCGGAGCAGGCGTAAAGGAGTATTTTCACGCTTGCTCCGCCCTGAGGCGAAAGGGACCCACGTGTTCTCACTCTTGCGCTGCCATGAGGCGAATGGGACCCACGTGATTTGACGCTTGCCTTGACGCTTGCCGCGCCCTGAGGCGAAAGTGACCCCCATATTTTCACGCTTGTTCCGCCCTGAAGCGAGAAGGACGGGTGCGAAAGGGACGGCCTCTCCACTTCTGCACAACGAGCGTTTCGCTCGAGACATCCTCAAACTTTCTGCGCGCAGGACGCGCCATCCTAGAGCGGGGACGCACAAAGCCAACATTCCCATATGTTTGGCAAATTTCTAAAATCTCCAGACACTCTTATTGATCGCGGTTTCTGCGGAAAACGCTCCGCACCCTTGTTTACAAGGGAGAATGAAGGTCAGCGGACTGGGGCGAAGATCAGACATGGGGCGTCCACCTTCCTCGAGCAGGGACGCGCGAAACGCAGCGCTCCAGCGCAGAGTGCGACTTTGCCTGGTGATCTATATATATATATACATATACACATATATATGTATGTATATAGAATCGAATTCCGCCAGCCTCCCCCCAACATGGCACCCAGGGACAAGTCTGCGAACTACAAGAGGACCCTGGGCCGGGAGGCGAAGAGGAGAGGCAGGAGCAGGGAGGAGAGGAGGGACGAGGGAGGGAGGAGTGCAGGGGGCGAAGGAGACACGAGGCGGCAGGAGAGAGAGGAGGAGGGAGGGCCGAGGACGAAAAAGGTTCCGCGGGGAAGGGGAGGCGAGAGGAGCAGGAAGACTGGCAGCGGGACGCCGACGGGCGGGGCGGGCGGGCGGACCTCGGCGGGCGGCTCGGGCGGGGGTGGGGCCTCCAGGCGAGCGGGCGGGCCTCGGGGCACGGCCAGACTCGCCCGGGGATCCTCCTCTCCGACCGCGCTCCAGGAGCAGCGCTGGGAGTTCCCCAGGGGGGCCCAGGGCCGCCGGGGGCGGAGCACGCCCCGGGCTCTGGCTTCCAGGGTGAAGTCGGGCGTGTCCCCCTACAGGGGGATTCTCGACGAAAAATAAGAAATACCCCCAAAATTCGCCGGCCCAACGGGCCAGAGGCGTGCTAAGATCTCCGGTAACTTGTTAACAATATTTCTAGTTCGCGCGCGCGAAGCGGCCCCTGGGGGCCCCCGGACGAAAAGTACCCCGGCAAGGTCCCGAGAGAAGCCTGGGAGAAGCCACCAGACCACTCCAGGGGAGGGTATTTTTCGACACCCCTCACGAGGATCGTGGCCTCCGAGGGGGGAGCCGCAATCGACTACCCCCAAGAGCCCCCCAAGAGGCCCTGGGGGCCTCCAAAACACCGCCAAGGAGCCCCAAGAGACTCCCAAGAGGTCCCCAAGAGGCCCCCAAGAGGCCCTAAAGAGGGCTCCAGGGCCGGCGGCATGAGCGAAGCGATTAAATAATCAAAACATTGTCCAAAAATAATATGGGGAATATTGTTTTGGATTTTGTTTTTACCTTTTGGGGGTATTTTGGGTTGTTTTGATTTTTCGTCGAAAATCCCCCTGTAGGGGGACACGCCCGACTTAATTCCAGGGCCCGTTCGGCGCTGGAGCCGCTGCGGCGGCCGACCGGGCAGCCGACCGAGCTCAGGCCCAGGATGCTCGCGGGAGCCTCGCCCGCCTGGCCGCCGAACGGGATCGACCTCGAGCCCGCCCAGCGACCGAGCGGGCACCAGCGCCGAGCGGGCCCGGGCAGCGAGCCCCTGGAGCAGGCCCTCGCGCGGGCGCGAGCTCTGGAGGGGGGGGTCGCGAGGGAGCGCGCGCCAGGGAGCAGTGGGGCAATGCCGGGAGCGCAAGGGAGAGTCTCGACGGGGCCTCGACAGACAAGGACGAGTGCCAGCCGCACGCGCACGGCACGCAGAAACACGCTCGCGCGCCCACGCACGCGCCGCGCACTCGTGCGCAGCACGCTCCCGCTCGAGCACCAGTCGAGCCAAAGGCGGGGATCGCGGCCGGCACGCGGTGCTTCCTCGGAGGGGCAGCATGCCGCGGAGCGGCTCGGCACCGACGGGCGCACGACGAACGTCCTCCGCGGTCGACGGCGTCCGTCCCGCAAACGCGTCTGCTCGCGCGCGCGCGAGCTCTCGGAGAGGGCCCGCGCTCGCAGAGGAGCTCTCGGGCGGGGAGCGCGCTCCTCGATCCTGGGGCCCAGATCCTGGATCCTGGATATCCTCGATCCGGGATATCCCAAATCCTGGATCCTGGATATCCTCGATCCTGGATATCCTCGATCCTGTCCTCGACGGGTCCTCGATGCCCAATCCTTCGCCCGCGGCCCCCGAGGCCCCGCAGGGCGCCGGGCGGCCAAGAGCGATCGCAGACGCGGACGCGCTGCTCGCTGCCGGCGCCCCGAGGCTGACCGAAGCCAGCGCCCGGACCCCAATGTCACCCAACGTCATTCAGCGCCCCGACGACATTGGAACCAGGCCGAGGTAGTGACTTCATTAGGGGGACAAAAAGTGGCATGACCATAAAAACTCGGAAGTCCGCGCGGATTTCTCGGATCGGCGCTGGGGCCCCCCGGCGGCGCCTCGGGCGCCGCCCCTGGCGCGCTCCGCGCGCCAGGGAGGGGGGTCCAGCGCCGATCCGAGAAGTCCGCGTGGACCTCCGAGTTTTTACGTTTATGTCACATTTTGTTTCCCTATTCATGGTGCCATTGTCTCGGGATGTGCGCCAGGAGTCCTGGAGTACCCAGCGGCCCTCGTCTCCCAGGCCCGTGAGGAAATAAATCCTGGAACGCATCATCATCGACGCTCAGGTGCTCCTCTGAGAGGGCTTCGCTGGCGCCCCCCTTGACACTGAACTCGCGGATGCAAAATGAGGACGCACGATCCTTGGGCGTCCAAGAGTACCTCATGTGCCGAAGGGTCCGAGATGCAGTGCTGCCAACACCATTTGCAGAAGTACCCCGTTCTCTATTACAGCCGTTTGACTGGTCGCCCCCAGCCAAGTGTTCCCGCCCCCTGCCGCTCCCCTTCTGGCCTCTTCATGTGCTTCTATTTGCCTACCCCCTCTCCGACTATCCCGCCTGCCCCCCCCCCCCTTCGGCCCACAGCTGCTTTCCATCCTTCCGCACGCTCCTGATCCCCACCACTCCACTGACCATGGAGAGAAGGAAAAGGAGGGAGAGGTGGTGGTGCGTGACGGGGGACGGCTGGTCGGGGGCGGTGCCGAGAAGGGCCTGGGAGGTAGCGGGAGACGAAGGGGGAGGAGAAGCGCAAGGGTGGAGGCGAGTAGGAGCTGGGGGAGAGGGGACAAGATGAAAAAAGGGAAAAGGGAGCAAGGGTGAGAGCAGAAGAACGCCAGCTCCACACGTGCGCCGATCTTGTCCAGACCCATGGGTCGATTTCAACATGTGTATCCCGACGCCCTCCCTGACAGGCCGGGAGGAAGGCATTGCCCAGGACCCCGCGCCCGAGGTCGGCGCAACTGCATTGATGACGCCCCCCGGGAGAGCACCGAGAGTGGGCGAGACGGGCAGGGACGGACGAGGGTCCTGTACTGCCGCTGCCCGTCGTCGTAAAGCACGTCGCACAGGTCCCCGTGCAGCGCCTCGGGAAAAAAGGAAGGACGAGGATTTGGGGACTACGGGATTGCAGCTGCTCCACGCATGGCTCGCATCGACTCTCATCAGGAGTCGGCCCTCAAGGCGCTCCAGACGTACCCAATACATCCAAACGAGAAGGGGGAGGGGGAGGAGGAGGAGGAGGAGGAGGAGGAGGAGGAGGAGGAGAAGGAGGAGGAGGAGGAGGAGGAGGAGGAGGAGAAGAAGGAGGAGGGGGAGGAGGGGGAGGAGGAGGACGAACGATCCAGAAAATGTGCGGTGCACGCTCCACGCAGGCGGGCCGCATTGGCAGGCAACCGGCACCCCTGGCCTCCCCCTTACGGGAGGAAGCGGGCTCAAAGGCACGAGCACCGACGAACGAAGGATAGTCAGCTACCTCGTCGCCCAGCGACGTGCCTCCTGCCGAGAAGGCGTGGCGCGTAGGGGGACGGTCGTTCGCATCGTCACTGCGAAGCACTCCCCGACTATCAACCCGTGCTCAATTAGCTGGCATGCGCACTTGGGTTTGTTCCCCAGGGTGAGCGGCCACAGACTTGCGGGCCACATAGCCCCGCCTCTCAACCAAATGCGCAATCCCCTGCGCCTGGTACCCATCTCCAAGTCACGGAGCGTGGCTAGCGCCGCTGCCACGGGCAAAAAACACGCGGCTGGTCCCAAAAAGCGCGAGATGGTCTGGCTGCCCCCAGTCCCCGCATGCAGTCGACTCTGACGGTGTGCCCCGAGGAGCTTGTGGCGCTGACACCATGAGAACAGGTGCCAGGCCCCCACCTTCGGGGACAGGAGGAGCAGGAGGAGAAGGAGGCAGAAGAGTAAAGGCAGGAGAAGGGAGGAGACGAGGGATGAGTGAGAGAGGAGTGAAGGGGGGAATGAGAGACGAGGCGGCAGGAGAGATGAGGAGGGATGACTGAGGACGAAAAATGTTCCGCAGGAGGAGGAGGAGAGAGGAGCAGGAAGATATGGCAGCGGGACACCGCCGGGCGGGGCGGGCGGGCGGACCCTGGCGGGCGGCTCGGGCGGGCGGGGCATCGAAGCGGGCCACGGGGGGGCTTCCAAGCAAGCGAACGCGCGGACCCTCGCTGGCAGGTCGGGCAGGCGGGCCCTCAAGTAGGGGGCCACATGCGAACCCTGCCCCTGCCCCCCACCCTCCCCCGAGCGAAGTGAACCCCACCCTCCCGAGCAGAAATCGCAGGGGGTAGGGGTAGTCGTTGGCAGGTCGGGCAGGCGGGCCCTCAAGGGTGCCGGGCGGGACACGAGAGCGGCGGACGGGCGGGAACGAGAGCGAACTCCCAAGCAAGCGAGCGGGCAGAGACCCCACGGGCGTGTCGGGGTCGCGCGGACTCCAACGGGCGGTTTGGGCGGGCGGTGCCTCTCACGGGCGGGGCGGGCGGGCGGGTCAACCCTCACGGGCGGGTCGGGAAGACAGGACCAGAGGGCCGAGTGAGCAGGCGGGTGGCTGAAGCGTGAGTCCTGCACGAATCGCGGGGAAGTTCCGAGCGATGGCGCGATTCCCAAGAACACCGTGAGACGGATCAGGGCGGGGGGAAGTCCAAAGGCGGCGGAACTTCTCGGAAGCCCTCCGGCTTTCAGAAGAGCCGCGTGTGTCTCGGGAGAAAGCTCCGCACGCGTATCAGAAGGCCGGATGCCCTCTGAGTCCCCTGAGAAGGCTGGCCGGCCCTTTCTGTCTTCCCCCTGGGCGCGCCGCCGAGTTGTCCAAAACCGACAGCAGCTGCTGTTCGGCAAGCGGCTCCCGGCCTCAAACGGACAACGCCCGCGACGATACCGACGCCGAGTCATGGTCCACATGAACAGGAACTGCTGCTGGCCTTCGTCCGCACTCTTTCCGTCTCCATTTCGATCATCCAAAGGTGCCAGGTGCGTCCGTGGGCTCCCCCACCGGACAGTCGCGCGCGGGAAGGGCAGCGCAGAGGAGAGGAGTAGGAGAGCGGGGATGAAAAACGAGGAGGGCCGAGAAAAAGGATCGAGGTGGGAGATCCAACAGGAGGAGGAGGAGGAGGAGGAGGAAGAGGAGCAGGAAGAGGAGGAGGAATAGGAGGAGGAGGCTCGAGGAGAACGAATACAGTGAGGAGGAGGAGGAGGAGGAGGAGGAGGAGGAGGAACGACGCTCCTCTCAGACGCACCAGGAGGGGGCCGAGGGGCCGCGTGAGCCGCGAAAACCTTGATAGGCCAGTCCTGCACTACTGTCAGGAGGAGGGGGAGGGAGGAGGAGGAGGAGGGGGAGGAGGAGGAGGAGGAGGAGGAGGAGGAGGAGGAGAAGGAGAAGGAGGAGAAGGAGGCAGGAGGAGGAGGAAGAGGGAGGAGGAGGGAGGAGGAGGAGGAGCAGGAGGAGGAGGAGGAAGGAGGAGGCAGGAGGTGGAGGAGGGAGGAAGGAGAAGGAGGAGGAGGTGGAGGAGGGAAGAAGGAGAAGGAGGAGGAGGAGGGAAGAAGGAGAAGGAGGAGGAGGAGGAACCATCTTGCCGCACCACCAACCAACAGGGATGAGAAATGGGCCAGCGGAGTGAGCGAATTGCACGGACTCCCACGCGAGAGCGCGACTCCTGCATACAGTCTGAAGAAATCCCGCGTGAGACCGCGATTTGGCAATAACATGTGGCGAAATACCAAGCGGGAGCCGCTGTTGTTGTAAGCCGGGGCCAGCAACACAACCTGACGCGAAAGACTCCATTCATAAAAAAACAGGGTGCGAGTCCGAAGGGGGAACACTTTAAATAACAAGCACAATGGGCACTGGATGGGGGATCAACAATACTTGTCCTCAGAACGTCAGAACTCAACGATCATGTTAAGACTGTTCGCTCTGATCTGTTCGCGTGCCACTCAGCACGTATATTCCAAACCATCGATACCCGCCCTTTTCGTCTCCGACCGTACGTACCCCCTTGAGGGCAAATCTCCCTTGCCTACCACGTGTAATAGGTGCAGTCTCTAAAACAGGTGAAGAGAGAGGACGACTGGAAGGAGAGGGGGAAGTAAAAGGATGGAGCACGAGAGAGATTAGCTGGAGAGGGGCTAGGAGCAGAAAACACTTGATAGAACCATACGGGCAGAGCGGGCGGGCAGACCCATTGCGGGCGTGTCGGGAAGGCGAGCCCAGGCGGCCAGTTCGAGAAGGCGGCTTGTTGAAGCGTGTGCCCTGCATGAATCACGAGGATGTCTTCAGCGACGGCGCGATTCCCAAGTGAATCGTGAGAAAGGCCAAAGCAAGAGCGTGTTTCCTGAGCGTCGAGGGCGTAGCGTCTGAATAGAATGCGAGGAAGTACCACGCGAGAGCGCGATTCCTGCATACATTGTGAGGAAATCCCGCGCGAGCGCGATTTGGGACTAACTTGTGAGGATGCATCAGGCGGGAGCCGTTGTTGCTGTGGTTGTTGTTGTTGTGGTTGTTGTTGTAAGTCGGGGCCCAACAACGCAGTTTGGTGACCCCTCGCTTTTTCTTGTAAAAAGCAGGGTGCGAGCCCCGGGTGGAGCACCTCAATTGAAAAATACAATGGCTACCAGAGTCAGGGGGACGTAAGACCTGGGTACAGGGGACCCGAAAATCCCCGACGAGGTCGTCAAAAAAATGACGAGGCAGAGCCTGCATTTTGACGAGGCCTCCCGCTGCAGACATCCCACGAAACTCCTCCTCGTCAAAATCCGAGGCTCGGTCGTCAAAAAACGATGGCGAACCCGAGTCCTGGCAAACCCGGGTCTTACGCTCCCCCGACAGAGAGGGGGGATCAGCAATACTTAACAACAACAGCAACAACAGCAGCAGCAACAAAAACAGCAACGACAACAACAACAACAACAACAACAACAACAACAACAACAACAACAATCATTTTACCCGAACGCTCAGTGTTCTCACCAGTGCCAGGGTTTTCATGCGACGCGAGACAATACCCCCACTTCGTGGGGGGGCAGTTCAAGCTCTACCAAATATCCAAACGACTCTTCGCGACCACCCAAACCCAGCTTCCCGCCCTATGACGTTGGGACACTTCACTTCGTGGCGTGCGGACGACCGTGGCTACTACACTGGCGTGGGGTACACACCCACAGAACTTGGTCACTTATTCGGGGCGCGCGTGTGCCCAGCATCCTGCAATTGTGACATACAATACATGACACAGACAGACAGAGAGAGAGACAGAGAGCAGACAGAGAGAGAGACAGAGAGAGCGGAGTTGGTCACATTTTTGGGGCAAGTTCCTGAGATCGTCGTGTTTTTTGTTGGTCTTGCGCGCGCGAATGTCCACTTTACTTTTTTTTGCAAGGGAATATTGATTATGTTAGAACAAGAAAAAGTAGCTCGCGCGAGCTCATGTAACATAAATGTTGAAAAACCATTGGTTTTGTGGGAGTCGGACAGCGCGCGCGGGATGAAATTTGGACATTTTTTTTTGAAAAACCATTGGGTTTTTGATGTTTTTATGTTGAAATCGTTACGAAACCTAAGGTTCTGGAAGGATTTCGTCTTGCGCGCGCGAATGTCCACTTTACCTTATTTTTTGCAAGGGATTATTGAAATTTGATTATGTTAGAACAAGAAAAAGTAGCTCGCGCGAGCTCATGTAACATAAATGTTGAAAAACCATTGGTTTTGTGGGATTCGGACAGCGCGCGCGGAAGGACATTTTGACAATTTTTTCTTAAAAAACCATTGGGTTTTTGATGTTTTTATGTTAAAATCGTTACGAAACCTAAGGTTTTGGAAGGATTTCGTCTTGCGCGCACGAATGTCCACTTTACCTTATTTTTTGCAAGGGATTCTTGCAATTTGATCAAGTAAGAACAAGAATTTTCATTTTATAGTGTTTTTTGCAAGGGAAAACGAGCGTCAACAAAACAACCGGATCCGGACATAATCCACTTTTCTGAAGCTTTCGCGAAAAAATGATGAAAATGTAGCTGCGGCCTAGGTTTTGGAGGGGGGTCGCGCACCAGGGGTCCCAACAATAATTATTCTTAAGAAGAAATAATGTTCAACAACAGCAATAACAACAACAGCAGCAACAACATCAACGATCGTTTAAGACAGTTCGCTCTTCTCTGCTCGCGTGCCATTCGGCACACCTATATGGATACATATCTGTACCTCCCAAACCCTCGGTTCCCGCTCTCTCTGTCTTCGAGCGTACCCCCTTCTGGGGAGTCCACCTTCCCCACCCGTCTCGTGCAGTTGGCGCGGCCACTGATACAGGGGAGGGAGGGGAAGAGTGACGAGACAAGTGTGCAGGGGCCCCGGGACACACAAATAACAGGATTCCCCATATGTTCCCATATGTTCTGGGCGTTCGTCTTCCCCCCCCCCCACTTCCCATATTTGCCAATATTTTCCTGGGAGTCGATGATTAATTGTGTCTGTGTGTTTTTGTTCCCCTCCTGAAAGTGGGGGGGAAAAGGATGGAGCACGAGAGAGATTTGCAGAAAAGGCTCATGAGCGGGAGCACGAGCGGCAGAACCAGACTGGCGGCGTCGGGCGGGCGGACCCTCACGGGCAGGGCGGGCGGCCGGGCCTGGACGGCCAGGTCGAGCGGGCGGGTCGCTGGAGCGTCCACCCCTCACAGAAGGAGGTGCCGAGCGATCACGCGATTCCCGGGTAAATCGTTAGGAAATCCAAGGCGAGAGCGTGATTTGTGAGTCTCGGGGGCACGACGCCGCAATACATTGCGAGGCAGTGCCACGCGACGATGCGATCCCTGCATGAAGCATGAGGACGTCCCCCGCGAGAGCGCGAATCTGAAATACATTGCGAGGCCATATCAGGCGGGAGCCGTTGTTGTAGCAAGCCGGGGGGGCAATGACACAGTCTGGGATCCACAGACTTTCCCTGATAAAAAACGGGTGCGAGCCCTGGGAGGAGCACTTGAATTGAAAACATACTCATGCAAAATGGTCACTGGGAGGGGGATCAACAATAATTGTTCTTTAGAAATCAAGATTCAACAAAAAATAAAACGTGACGCGCCGAGAGGGCCGCCTCCACGACGCCCGGGGCCCAGCGCCCCGGCGCCCACTCGCCCACCACGCGCTGCGCCACGGCCAGCCGGGGCACCTTGCTGGGCCGCCGCGGGGGGGACGACCACGACGACGACGCAGCAGAAGACGGCCACGACCACGACGACGACCCACGACGATCGCAACGACGACGACACACGACGACCACAACGAAGACGGCTGCGACGACGACGACGACGACGACGACGACGACGGCACCGACGACGACGACGACGACGACGACGACGACGACGACGACGACGACGACGACGGCACGATGACGACGGCACGATGACGACGACGACGACGACGACGACGACGACGACGACGACGACGACGACGACGACGACGACGACGACGACGACGACGACGACGACGACGACGACGACGACGACGACGACGACGACTGGCGGAGGCGGCGGCCGACGGCGCAGGGCGACGGCCGACGAGCACCCTATGCTACACCTGGCCTCCTCGCGCCTGCAGGTTCGCCACCGGGGGCGGGCGAGAACACGCCGAGTTTTTGCGCACCCGACCTGCGCGGGTCGGGGGTGGCTCCCGACCTACGCTGAGTTTTTGCAGGTCGCTGAGTTGTTGCACCCGACCTTCGCTGGTCGCTGAGTTTTGGCACCCGACCTACCCGACCTTCGCGGGTCGCTGAAATTTTGCACCCGGCCTACGCTGAGTTCTTTGCACCCGACCATATTGTCGGCTCTTGCGGGTCGACGCCGACCGGCACTAAGGCGACGCTGATCGGGCGCTATAGTCGACGCTGACGGACGCCAAAAATCTGCGCTGTCTCGTCGACTCCCAGACACTATTCGACGCTGGTTGACGCCGAAGACGATAACTGCGAGGGCATACCAGGCTCCCACGATTTGCTACCGAATCCATCCGCTTCTTCCTCCGCCCTCCTCCTCCTCCACGAAGTCCCACCGCTTCGCGGAGGTCGCCGTCTGCAACGGCTTCGTAGAGGTGCGGGAGTCGTCGTCGTCGAACGGTGGCATTAGGGTCATCCCTGTGCTCGGCTCAACTTTAGCGCCCCCAACCCAGACAGAGAGACGAGGACGAAGACGGGGAACGGGAGACGGAGGAGGGAGGGAGGTTCTATCAGTCAGACGGGGGCTCAGGTTCCGTCTTTTTGTTTGTCTCGGTTACCTCATCCCTCGATTCAGGTCCAGGGGGTAAGATGAGCCCGCATGGCAGGCGTCTTGGGCTGTGGTGGTAATGACACCGTCGTCCCCCCCACCCTGGCCGTCAAGGTCGTGCAACTTGCTGTCGTGGATAACCAGTCCGATCCTTATCCTTCTCGCACGTACCTCTGCACTCGTCCATACGTCTGCTACACCTCGGCCTGCTGAAGAGGCTCAACTCGGGCCGTACGAGCCAACATTGGAAGCGGGACCTGGTCGAAACTTGAGCCCCGCCGCGAGCCATAAAAGGCGAGAAGCAAGCACCATATGCAGTACAATCACTCGTTGATCCTCTGTCTGAGCTCCTCCTCCTCCTCCTCGAGCGTAGCAGGGGGGCGCACCGAGTCCTCCGCCAGCTCTACGACGCGGTGCTGCAGCTCGACCGCTCGACCAGAAATCGAACTGTCGGCAGCACGGACCTGGCCTGAGACATCGAAATAGTTCCTTCAGAGGAAACAGGCAAGACATGCAATGTATTGTACAAATAATAAGCGAAGACTGGCACTTTGAAGGCTTCCCGCGCAGGGCGCCAGATGCCGAGACGGGCAATGGGCTCACCTTCTACAATGTGACCAATACCGGCTTCCAGAAGCCAGAAGAAGACAGGGCAGGTCCAGTAGTGCCAAAAACTGTCGGCACCGTTCGGGCATCCCAGGACACATTTAGCGGACCCCTGGAACCTATGACTGGTGCACCAACAGCCCCCGAGAGTCTTGAGGACGGCGGATCTCCAAGGGGGGGGAGGGCGGCAATCACTTCACGAACTTTTTCCCAACACACGGAGTCGATGATGCTCTTGCAGTCAGGACGAGCTCCCAGCAACCGACGCCGAAAGGTATGTTGAACTCTGTCAGGATATAGTTGTTCAGCAAGGGCACGAGTGAAGATCCTTTGGGGCTTCAGGGGCCTCAGGGGCTTGTCGGGGAACTCGTGCTGGACGTCTTTCAGGGCCTGGAGAGCTCGGACACCAGCCTGCGACAGGTTGGGGATCTGCGGGAATCCCTCGGAGGCCTCCAGGAGGTAGAACGCATGCGGGGGGCTCTTCCAGTGAGACGGCCACGGAGCTCGCGCCAGCGATCGGACCAAAGGTAAGTGTTCCTCAGCCTCGCGCCATAGGAGGTCCACCCCCGCTCTCCATGAGGTGAAGGTGCAAATGGCCGCCCTCATCAGGGACGCGTGACACATCGCCTGTGCACTGCCGAGCTTGGGCCCCCCCCCAGAGACCAAGATTATACCAGTCAGCATTAGTCAAAGCACGATACTGAATTTGCAGCAGCCGGGGGAAGACGCAGCACTCGTCATGTTGAAGGCGGCGAGGAGGAGGAAGGAATTGAGCAACGTAGGAGAGGGCCGACAACGCACGCGCACGATAAAGGCCAGCAGAGACCTCAGATGAGCTCCCCAGGGCACCGATGGAGTGGGCTCTGCTGGTGTACTTAGCGATTGGCTTCTTCCAGGGGTCCTCAGGAGTGACGGCAGGGCCGAGCAGCATCCCTAAGTAGCCGAGGGCGTCCTCTATCTTAATGTCCTTCCACTCTGGGATGTTATCGAGTAGCCAGGCTTTGATGTAAAGCTTGAGTCTGGACGACACGGGGCCTCCGACAGGGACAATCGTGCACTTAGAGCTCTTGATCTTCAAGTGCCCTATGAGCCTGGCCAACTCGAAAACTCGGGACGCGTGCATCAGATACGCCAAGCGACGAAGGGCCATGCCGACGTCGTCCGCACAGGCTCGAGTGATACCTCTGTCAGGGGCGTCGATTTCCCCCCTGAAGGCCTGGAGGAAAGGGTCCATGGATAACGCAAATAGTAACCCAGAGCCTGGACATCCCTGGATCATACCGCTGGTGATATGGAATAGAAATTGGCATATATGACCTATCTTGCCCCAACAAGAGACATCCACGTATATCAGCTCGAAAAAGTCTTTCAAAGCACTCGGGATCGGCGACGTCGCCAGAACCATCAGCATCCACTGCTGGCTGACCGACGGGAAGGCCTGGCCGAAGTCGTAGCCGACCAAAATCGGGCGCAACGAGGGCTCATGCATACCGTAGGTGCGTGCTCGAACATCCAGATCGATAATGGTGTCCCCAAAATTCCCCCCCCGCCACGAAACCTTTTTGGATCTCGTCGAGACCCTGGGGCACAGCACGGCCCAGCGCATAGCAGCGTGCGGCAGTGATCAACTTGTTATCGGCGTTTTTCAGACCGAGGGGACGGGTGTTCGTAGCACTTCTGATCGCACCGTTGCCGTCGTCGTCCTCTTCGCCCTTCGGCGCGAACACCTAGGACAGCGTTGAAGTCTGCACCAAGAGAGAAACCTTCGAGCATCCACCTCATGCTGTCCGTCAGGATCTCGATTCCCATGGGAGCGTTTTTCCGCGCCTCGCAAGGCAAATTATCAGGACCAGGGGCCGAGGGGCGGACGCGGCCCAGGATTTTCCGAAGAGCGTGGCTGCTCGGAGGCGGTAAATCTAGCTGCGGCAACTCCGGGGCGCGGCGCTGCAAGAGGTCGGCGGCCTGGTCAGCCAGAAAGGGCTTCGCCGTGAAGACCTCGCGCCAATGGGCTCCGAGCTGTTGCGACATCTGCAGGGGCTCTCGAACAAGCGAGCCGCTGTCGAGACGCACACCTGCTAGGTACATACGCTTGTCAAAGGGGGACCACAGCTGCTGCATCTTCGTCAGTCTACGTTGCTGCTTTTTGAACTTGCTTCTCCGGTGGCAACCAGACTCCCGCTCAGCTCGCCGACGGATTTCAACTCGAAACCGCTTTGCTGCTTCATGATGCAGGGCGCTCGACAGGACGGAGAACTCTCGTGGCAACCGAAGAGAGACAGCGTGCACCTCAGGCTGCACATCAAGGTGCTCTCTGGCGAGGGGGTGAGCACGCAAAAGCTTGGACGCCAGCGCAAAGTCGTTCTGGAAGACCGCCCGCGCACAGCTTCTGACAATCAAGAACTTGGCTGTGATGCTGTTTAGCTTGTGAACTATAATGCTATCGCGTGCGCGTCGTGCGGCTTCACGCATAAGCATCTTCAGGTATGCGTGTATCTGCGGCTGGCTCATGTCCGCCGACGGCGGGGCGACCTCCCATGCAGAGGTAAGAAACTTGGCATACTCCGCAGACTTGAAGATCTCGCGAGGGATCGGGCGCTGGTCGGGCGGGGTCCTCTCGCGAACCTGTAAGCAGACACACACGGGGGCGTGGTCGGAAACCTCCTTCGCTTGCAGCACTACGGGATCCTGAGGGACCTGGCCACCTGAAGAGTGCTGCGTAATGACCCATCCAGGGGCCGACGTAAAGATTCTGTCGATAAACGTGAGCATTTTGGTTCCAGGATGAAAGTGAGTCGGGGCCTCCAGCTGCATTTCAACCAAGGGTCCGAGAGCGTCTCGCCATTCACGAGGGACAGGGGCAGGAGGAACAGGAGGTCCCGCACCAGGGTCAGGGACAAGAGGCAAAGGAGGAAGATGACTAAAATTGAAGTCGCCCACGACGAAGTGGAGCCTCTCATGCGGCCTCTCCTGGCTGTAGGCGCACTCCGCACGGATCTTCTGAGAAGCAGCACGTCTCTCCTGCACGTTCAAATCATGATTGTTTACGTTGAAGTGGGAAATCCACGAGCGACCATCTTGAGAACCGATTTTAGCGCGTAGAACTCGTCCAGGAACGACGGGGTCATACGTTACAAGGGGGAGGGGAGATCCAAAAAGCGGCCGCCGAACCTCAGACCTCTGGAAAAAGGAGGAAAATGTAGCAACACCTCCAGTTCTGGACGAAGCGGGGGAGTCAGGAGGGACGAAGGAAGAGGTGAACTGGAAAGGAGTGTTAAACGTATGCCTAAAATCTTCTAGATCATGCTGGGACCCGCGCACTTCCTGAATGGCAACTATAGCGCCTGGCTGCAACAGAGAAGCTAGAAACTTCTGCTTTCTAGCGCGGAGAGACGGCTTGCGATGCATCAGGGCATTGGCGTTCCACGTCGCCAAGCGCACAGGCGTCGCAGAACGACGACGCCCGCTCCACAGCGCGTGCAAAATGCTAAACGCACCACTCAGAGTCGTCCTCACCCCCGGCCAGGGTCTCAGTGACCTTCGAGCGCAGCGTCTCCATGTCGAAGCCCAGGTCCGCGAGGTTGCGAGGCTTCCAGCGCAGGTTCGGGACGTCGTCCAGGCGCGGCGTGATCTCCAGCAGCTCCTTCCACTGGTACGACAGGACGCCCTTCTCGCGGTTGATGTAGATCTTCCGATCAGGGCATAATACGTTGAACGCGGTCTTCGCTCTCTTGCAGGCGACCTCGCGCTTGATCTGACAGGGGGACTTGTCAGGGCCAGCATATACCTCCATCCGAACTCTCTCGATGTTGACGCAGCACAGCTTGTTCCACGCCCCGCCATGCTGGGAGGGTTTGAGCAAGCCCAGGAATTGGTTGACCAGACGGCTCGCATAGTTGATCGCCCCCTTGAATTTGATGAGATACCTCTTGCTGGACGGATCGCCGAGGATCTCCCACTGGTCGTCATTGATAGCACCTTGCGCAAGCCAATGCTTTGCCATCTCCCTGATGCCTTCCTTGGACACGAGTGATTGGCAGCGCAGCACAATGATCGTCGGGTCAGGCGGGCGGTCGAAGTTCGCACCAGCCAAGGTCGGAGGTGGGGCAGGTGTCGAACTCTTGGCCACTCCAAGCTCCGTGCGCAACTGCTTGATCTCCGCCATAACCTCAGCAATCTGGGTCGTGTGGTCTCGCACCGTCGCCTCCAGCGGTGCCAACCGTCGTTCCACTTGGGTCGAAAGTGCCGTGCATGAATTAGTGACCGAAGTCGCTGTCGAAGCCAAAGTGGCGTTGACAGAGGTCTGCATCTGCGACAAGTCCTGAGTGAGGGTGTCGCGCATCTGGTCGATGTACGCCTTGAGGTCCGAGTCGCCTTCCCCGCAGATCTCGAAACCACTAGATTCTTGACCACCATGACCATGCTCACTGGGACGCTTGACGCCACCGCCATTGCCAGCAGGAGCGCCAACACGTGCAGGAGACGGCACCTGAGACACCTGCGACGGGAAGGTTGCCATGGCGTCCAGCTCAGCCGCCAGTCGCGCAGCTTCATTTTGAGGAACGATCGCAGCCATGCCTCGCGGCTACCTGGTAGCCGCACCCGAAAGGCAAAGACTGAGAACGGGGCGCGGAAAGCGCGAGGGCCCCTGGTGGCCACAGAACGGCAGCTCGGGCCACCTGCGGAGACAGGGACCAAAGCTAATCGCTGATTCTCGGGCGTCTATAGTCCTTCACAACGTTTAGCCTTGAGCCAAAATGGCTACGGACCTCCTCCTCCTCCTCCTCCTCCTCCGCCTCCTCTTCCTTCCCCCTGAGGTTGGCAGAAGTTGATTCTTCTTGGACGGGGCGGAACAAGGAAGGAGATCCACCCCCTGGGTGTCAGGCGAGAAGCGGTGCGCTATGGGTCATCACACAACGGAGGCACCAGAAGAGACCGGGTGACGGGAACGTGTTGTGTGGCCGAGGCTACCCAATGTCGCCGCTCCGACCGCACGCCAACGAAGCGGGCACCATGCACGGTCACGAGGAGTGCAGACGGTCCGCAAAGGGGATGGGAACTAACAAGCTGGTCCGTACCCAACCCCCACAAACAAGCTGGTTCAGCTCAAGACCGTGGAGAGGAGTTGCGCACAACATTGGCACCCCCTGGGGACACGATTTTCCTACAGCCCGACGAACAAGCTGATCCAGCACAAGGTACGCGCGCGGGGCGGTGGCAGGAAATCTTCTCTTTTTTTTGGGGGGGGGGGCTTCTTCTTTTTTTTTGGGGGGGGGGCGGGGGCCAGAAATCTTCCCCCAATGAGGAGGAGCGGACCATCTGCACCCGAGGCCGTGATCGAGAGGAGGCAGACACGAGAAGACCTGCGCCTTGCCGTCGCTCGGACGTCCCATTCCCGTGCATGTTTCGGTTTCGTGCGTGTTTTTTTTGCTCGATAGTCCAGGACGGTCCTCGATGGCTCTCGCCGAGAAAAGAGGCACACGTCCGAGCGATGCCAAGGCACCTGGCAGCAGCGCGGAGCACTGCTGGGCCGCCCCTGCGCGTGGGGCCTCGCCTCTCAGAGCACGGGCTTTCTCTGGGGCTGCTCGGGCCCATCAGCGCCCATTTAACGGGGACTACACTGACGGGTACTTTGGCCAGTGACCTGGCGAACCCAACCCTTCCCGATGTGGACAACGCTGCAGTGCCAGAAAGAGGCCCTAAAGTGGCAACTTTCGGCAACTTTCCAAAATACCCGTTAGTGAGTACCCGTTACGTCGCCCCTGAATCCAGGGCACGAAAAGAAACTGGGAGGACAGGAAAGCGAAGCCTGACCGGGCAAGAGCGGGAAGCGCCGCTTTGGTCCGATGGACGTATTGGGCGAAGAAAAGAAGGGAAAGAAGACAGGGGCGAGGAGGAGGCGAGGACGAGGACGACGTGCGTGGAGAACGTGAGGATAGCGAGGAGGAGCATGAGGACAGCGAGGACGAAGAGAAGCACAAGGGGAGCACAAAAAGAAACTGGGAGAACAGGAAAACGAACATGATCGACCCACGAACCCGGAAAGGAAGATAGAAACGTAAGGCATGGCAACGTTGTCAAGACACCTGATTGGGCGACGGGCAATTGCGATGCTGAGTGTATCAATCTTGATGTACCGTGCCACGGGCTGTGCTGTGCTGCGCCGTGCTGAATTGCGATGTGCCATGCCGCGATTGTGCTCTATAGCGTTGTGGATCGAATCCCCCCTTGCATCCGAGTCCTGCCCGAACTGATCTGGATCTTAAGCTCGAGCTGCCCGAGCACATAATAGCTGCATCAGAACTAATTGACAGGGGAACGCGCCGCGGAACGTCCCTAGGGACGCGCCAGGGGGTCGTGCCAGGGGACGTGCCATGGGGACGGACCGCGGGACGTGCCAAAGGGCCGCGCTACGGAACGTGCCCATGGACGTGCCACGGGACGCGCCACGCGACGTGCCATGGGCACTCACCATGGGACGCGCCACGGAACAATGCGCCAAGATGCAAGGCTGAGCGTATCGATCTTGAGTGAACAGGTGTGTTTTAGATGTTCGCTTGAGCACGATCTCCACCTAGGCACTCATTTCCGCTGGGTGCACCCGGATGCCAGGCAGAATATCAGAGTAGCACTGCACGACTGCAGCCTCTGCGGGGGCCGCACGACTGGCATGTATATACAAAGTCTTGCCATCCCGGTGCCTGATTCGGAGGGCGAGTCTGAGGGCTCAGACCTCTGAGCCCCCCCCCCCCTTTTTCCTTCTCTCCCTTGAACAGTCTCACCCCCCCGTTCATGCCCCTCTGCTGGGCAAGCCGCGGCTCTTCGCCGCGAAGACGGCATTGCTGGTGCAGGCACTGCCAGTCCCGCTTTCGCGCTGCTGGGGAGCGTGCGCGGAAAAAAAAACGGACAACTCGGGCCTTAGGCGGTCCACCCCCGACTGTGCGACTCCCGCCCCTGGTGCGGTCGTGGTTCGCCCACGTGGCCGGGGTGTGGCTCCTGGAGCCTGGTCCTGGGTTACGGCTGGGTGCAGCCCGGCGCGCCACCCCGCCCCGCACCACCTGGGGCCGGACCTGGGGAGAGCGCGGAACCGACAAGTGGTACATCCTTTGCTCGATTGCCGACGGACTCCCATCTGGTCCGCCCCTCCGACCGACGCTCGCCGCTTTGTCCCCCCGTCCATCGTGATGGATAAGCTGCCCGCGTTGTTCGCCGATGACTTGTTCCGCCGCTCTCGGCGGGTGCCACCCTCGAGCTGGACTGCACAAGTGGTTCATCCTTTGGCAGTGTTCCAGACCTCCTGCAGAGTGGTCCAGGGTGCTCGGCCATGCCTGCTATCGCATCCCCCCCGACCTTCGGGGTCTGGCAGTCGCAGCTTTCGGACTCCATGATTGGGTTGGTCCGTGCATAAGGTGATCGCTTTTGCCCGACCACGCTCAGGAGTCCTTGAGAGTGAGGCGTTCCTCGGTTCCCCCTCTTCTGCCCGTGCGTTCTCTCGCCCGCCGCCCCTCCTTGCTCCCTCGCCTCGTCGTGTTTGTCGGAGCGGCCTCTCGGGCCCCCCGTGCTGCCACAGCGCAGCGTGCCGCACGCCAGTACGCGCCGGTCAGTACGGTTCGAGTTGGCGCCACTGTGCGACTTCTCTTCCGTCGAGCTCCGACTGGTGCCTGCGCCCCTGCTCCTGGGTCGCTCGCATCTTAATGGGGGGCATGTTGCCTCTTGCACGTGCATTTGCGTCGTCGGCCTACGTACCGTCGTTGCCAATTATCTCGCCCTGCACCCCAGCCGAGCCCGTCCCGCTTCCTGGATCTGTCCTTGTGAGCCGTCAATCAAAAAAGTATCGATCTTGATGTACTGTGCCGAGGGCTGTGCTGTGCTGCGCTGTGCTGAATTGCGGTGTGCCATGCCGCGATTGTGCTCTATAGCGTTGTGGATCGAATCCCCCTTTGCATCCGAGTCCTGCCCGAACTGATCTGGATCTTAAGCTCGAGCTGCCCGAGCACATAGTAGCTGCCACAGGTCGAATTGACAGAGGGACACGCCAGGGGGACGCGCCGCGGAACGTCCCTAGGGACGCGCCAGGGGTCGTGCCAGGGGACGTGCCATGGGGACGGACCGCGGGACGTGCCAAAGGGCCGCGCTACGGAACGTGCCCATGGACGTGCCACGGGACGCGCCACGCGACGTGCCATGGGCACTCACCATGGGACGCGCCACGGGACAATGTGCCAAGTTGCAAGGCTGAGCGTATCGATCTTGATGTACTGTGCCAAGGGCTGTGCTGTGCTGCGCTGTGCTGAATTGCAATGTGCCATGCCGCGATTGTGCTATAGCTGTATACGTATGTGTATATATAGCGTTGTGGATCGAGTCTCCCTTTGCATCCGAGTCCTGCCCGAACTGATCTGGATCTTAAGCTCGAGCTGCCCGAGCACATAATAGCTGCCAAGGCTGAACATATCGATCTTGATGTACTGTGCCAAGGGCTGTGCTGTGCTATGCCGTGCTGAATTGCGATGCGCCATGCCGCGATTGTGCTATGTGTATATAAATACGTATGTATATATATATATATACATAAAAAAAGAGAGAGAGAGAGAGAGAGCATTGTGGATCGAGTCCCCCTTTGCATCCGAGTCCTGCCCGAACTGATCTGGATCTTAAGCTCGAGCTGCCCGAACACATAATAGCTGCCACAGAGCTAATTGTCAAGGGACATGCCAGGGGGACGCGCCGCGGAACGTCCCTAGGGACGCGCCAGGGGTCGTGCCAGGGGACGTGCCATGGGGACGGACCGCGGGATGTGCCAAAAGGACGCGCTACGGAACGGCCCAATGGACGTGCCACCGGACGCGCCAGGGGATGCGCTACGCGACGTGCCATGGGGACTCACCATGGGACTCACCGCGCGGCCTTGCTTGTTTGCTGTCGGACCATGTGGGATCGATCTCGCGGCAAAAAGTCAAGGCGTAGTTGCCAGAGAAATGCGATCCAGCGCCGCCAAGTGGAAAATCGCAGGGGTCGAGTGCCCTAACTGCGCAGTACGCTACCAGTGATCATCTACCGAAAGGGACATGAGAAGTGCGGCGGGAACGAGGCGTGTATGAAACGCGAGCGGATGGACCGAACTTTACCTCAGAAGCTCGCGCGAACCGTCGCCACGATGCAACCTCATGGTTTAGAGAAGCTCGCACGATCTGCCGCCACGATGCAACCGCATGCTTCAACGCCGACCTGCAGGCACGAATACAACAAAGGAAGGGGAGGAAAGGCCAGCGACGCGTGTCGGCGGGGCCTGACCTCCATAACTACTACATGGCCTGGTCGCAGCGGCACCGCGTATGCCTGAGTGCAGGTTGGGGCGCGTCGGGCAGAGCCACAGCCCTATGGGCTTTGCTGCGCAGCGGCATCGGGCTGCATCGTAGCTGCGTGCGTGCGTGCATCACACATAGCCGCTGCGTGGTTGAACCATGCCCACCCTGTCAGCAATCAGCGTCGAAAGAGAGGCACGCCTCTGCTCGCTGTGCTGTATCTGACCATTGCAAACGGTGCAGAGCCAACAAGGCACGCTGATCCTGCCAC